CAAAGTGCTGGGATTACAGGTGTTGCAACTGCCCAGTGGGTTCACCTTGCCCAATGCCTAGACAGAGTCAATTTATCAGTACAGGGGAATTGCAATATAGAAAGAGTAATAGCATAGAGCCAACTGAATGGGACACCAGAGTTTATAATTACTCAAATCAGTCTCCCCGAGCATTTGGGGACCGGAGTTTTTAAAGATAATTTGCTGGGTAGGGTCCAGTGAGTTGAGATTTGCTGATTGGTTGAGTTGGAGATAAAATCACAGGGAGTGAAAACTGTCCTCTTGTGCTGAGTCAGCTTCTGGGTGGGGCCACAAGACCAGATGAGCCAGTTTCTTGATCTGGATGATGCCAGCTGATCCATCAAGGGCAGGGTCTGCAAAATATCTCGAGCACTGACCTTAGGTTTTACAATAGTGATGTTATCCCCAGGAACAATTTTGGGAGGGTCAGAATCTTGCAGCCTTTGGCTACATAACTCCTAAACCATAATTTCTAATCTTTTGGCTAATTTGTTAGTCCTACAAAGGCCAACTGGTCCGTAGGCAAGAAGGGGGTTTGTTTCAGGAAAGAGCTGTCATCTCTTTGTTTCAAACTATAAACTAAGCTCCCCACAAAGCTTGTTCAGCCTACGCCCAAGAATGAACAAGGACAGCTTAGAGGTTAGAAGCAAGATGGAGTTGGTTAGGTCAGATCTCTTTCACTGTCTCAGTTATCATTTTGCAATGGCAGTTTCAGTGTGAGCCACCAAGTCCAGCCTAGACTCTTTCTCTTTTTTTATTTTTTTATTTTTATTTTTTGAGACAGAGTCTCTCTCTGTCGCCCAGGCTGGAGTGCACAGAGTCTCTCTCTGTCGCCCAGGCTGGAGTGCAGTGGTGCGATCTCAGCTCACTACAAGCTCTGCATCCCAGGTTCACGCCATTCACCTGCCTCAGCCTCCTGAGTAGCTGGGACTATAGGCACCTGCCACCTCGCCTGGCTAATTTTTTGTATTTTCAGTAAAGATGGGGTTTCACCGTGTTAGCCAGGATGGTCTTGATCTCCTGACCTCGTGACCCACCCGCCTCGGCCTCCCAAAGTGCTGGGATTACAGGTGTGAGCCACCGCTCCCGGCCTAGACTCTTTTCTTTACTGCAGTGCTGAGGTCTCAGTGAATTCATTTTGTCTGTGCAGTCAGCAGGAAGAATCCATTTGGTGATTACACAGAAGAAACGGTCACAAGACCAACAGAGCAAAATCTAATTCCTCCAGTTGTGGAAAATTAGGACAGGCTCCTAAGTGTCAGGATCTGCCCTTAGGGAGGTTCAAAGACCTGCCTCCTCAGTCATGTGTGACTGCCTTTCCACCAGCTCTCCCTGCTTTTGTCCTGGTAAAACCAAGAACAACCCCAGGAGTGCCTTGGAGACTTTACAAGAAGGCAACTTAAGGGAAGATGAAAAAGAAAGAGAGCTGGGCCACATTTTGCCCGGGTGATAATGGAGGGCTTTATGAAATCACTGATTGTAATGAGGGTCCTAGGGTGAGGGTGTTGTTGGGGCCCAGCACATACCACCCCAAAATATTCCTCTTCGGCATATTATTAGCCTGCTTGGGTTTTTTTTTTTTTTTTAGAAACTGTAGACGAATGAGCAGCTCTGAAAACCTGCCCTTTTGTAAAGGAAATTTCCATCTATGAAGGAAATTTTCATTAGTAAATGTGCCTGTACCAGGAAGAAGGCTGTTCCGGGCAACTTTTATCACTTGAAAGACTTTTATCTGCCTAACAAGGCAAACTTTATTTACCATACATTTCCCCTCCTGCCCTCCCATAATTTGTCACCCCTACCCACCTCCCATCAGGGTGCAATGCCTGTTTACATATATGATAACAAACAAATCATGGGGAGATGTGCTGACTATAAGTGTTTGTGATAAAGGATTAATCTTTGTAATTACCACCTTTTGGAAGAATCGATATTATTATCTTTAAAGTTAAACTTATTCTTGGACTAGGACTGCTTTTGTTCTTGAGATATGGGGACATCAGGACATTTCTAGGTCTCTTAAGTCCTGTGTCTGTTTAGTAAACATTATTAATTGACTAAGAATGCCTAACCTTCTGGGAATACAGCCCAGCATGTCCCAGCCTGGTTTTTTCTCAGTCTGTATTCAAGATGGAGTCACTCTGGCTGAAGCACTTCTGACAGTATTAATAGGAGGGTGCCTCCCTCCACGCCTGTGTGAGTTTTTCCTAAAGCTGAGCTAGAAGGACAACAAACACAGTTTCCACCTCATGTGGCAAGATACCATCACAACACCCTGAGAGATACATGCTGTCAGCAGGTGACTGCTTGACTACAGTTAAACCACTTTTGCAAAATTTATAGCAGTGAGAAAATTATGACAGCAAAAGGGATCTGACCTGACTCACTCCATCTTGCTTCTTCTTTTTTTTCTTTTCTTTTTTTCTTTTTTGGAGATAGAATTTTGCTCTTATTACCCAGGCTGGAGTGCAATGGCACGATCTTGGCTCACCACAACCTCTGCTTCCCAGGTTCAAGCGATTCTCCTGCCTCAGCCTCTTGAGTAGCTGGGATTACAGGCATGCGTCACCACGCCTGGCCAATTTTTTTGTAATTTTAGTAGAGACAGGGTTTCTCCATGTTGGTCAGGCTGGTCTCAAACTCCCCACCTCAGGTGATCCACCTGTTTCAGCCTCCCAAAGTGCTGGGATTACAGGTGTGAGCCACAGTACCCTGTCTTTTTTTTTTTTTTTTTTTTTTTGAGACCGAGTCTTGCTCTGTCACCCAAGCTGGAGGGCAATGGCACAATCTTGGCTCACCACAACCTCCACCTACCAGATTCAAGCGATCCTCCTGCCTCAGCCTCCCAAGTAGCTGGGATTACAGGCACCTGCCACCACGCCCAGATAATTTTTGTATTTTTAGTAGAGACGGGGTTTCACCATGTTGGTCCGGCTGGTCTCAAACTCCTGACCTCAGGTGATCCACCTGCCTTGGCCTCCCAAAGTGCTGGGATTACAGGCATGAGACACCACCACCCGGCCTCCATCTTGCTTCTAACCTCCAAGCTGCCCTCATTCATTCCTGGGTGTAGGCCGAACTAACTTTGGGAGGAACTTAGTTTACAGTTTAACTTTGAAACAAATGCTGACACAGAAGGTAGAAAGAAATTATTTGGGCAAATAGTGAGGGCAACAGAGTCCTCGGCAGAACTTCTCTTCTAACAAAAGCAGCCCCCAAATCATTTCTTTTCTAACAAAGAGCAGCCTGAAAAATCGAGCTGCAGATATAGATAAGGAAGCTAGAAGCTTGCAGGACAAATGCCAGCAACTGTGCCAATAGAAAAGGGCTACCTGGTGGCCAGGCAAGTCTAACATCAAGGCTCCATCTTCCCTTTTTTTGTTACCACATGTGCAGTAATAGAGAAATGGGCAACATGGCACAGCCCAGGCAGAGAACCTGCGTGCATGAAAACGATTAGGTTGGGGATACAAGAAATTCACGCCCTATGCAAATGGCATAACCAGTTTTTTGTGCCCTATGTAAATCAGGCACCACCTCCTCGCCAGCTTATCTATAAACTCCCCTGCATTTCACCATGGATTTGGCAACCCATTTTTCCAGGACCCCTCTCTGCAGCAGAGAGCTCTTCTCGTTCTTTTTCTTTTTAAACTTCTGCTCTTAACCTCATTCTTTTTGTATCCACATCCTTGTTCTCCATGACCATGGCACAACAAACTTTGGGTATTACTCCAGACAACAAGGCCATTTCAATACGATAACAGCCCTTTCCCAAAGCAAAACACTTTCTTGCTGGGGACCAGACTGCCTTCGTAGGACTAACAAATTAGCCACAAGACTAGAAATTATAGTTTAGGAGTTGCCCAGGTGCAGTGGCTCATGTCTGTAATCCCAGCACTTTGGGAGGCTCAGGTGGGTAGATCACAAGGTCAGGAGATGGAGACCATCCTGGCCAACATGGTGCAACCCTGTCTCTACTAAAAATGCAAAAATTAGCCAAGCGTGGTGGCATGCACCTGTAGTCCCAGCTACCTGGGAGGTTGAGGCAGGAGAATTGCTTGAACCTGGGAGACAGAGGTTGCAGTGAGCCGATATCATGCCACTGCACTCCAGCCTAGGCAACAGAGCAAGACTCCATCTCAAAAAAAAAAAAAAAAATATATATATATAGTTTAGGAGTCATGCAGCCCCAGAAGCCACAAGATTCCACACCTCCCCCATTGCTCCTAGGGATAACATCACTGTTGTAAAATCTAAGATCAGTGCCTGAGATATTTTGCTGACCTTGAGATTCTGATGCACCAACTGACACCATCCGGTCCTGTAATCTGGCTCAACCAGTTCTGCCATCCCACCCAGGGACAGGTGGGTGGGACAAAGACACCCACTTTGACCCCCTATAACTTTATCTCTGACCTGACCAATCAGCACTCCCCACTCCCTGTCCAAATTATCGTTTAAAAACTCCAGTCTCATAGGAAATGGATGGCTCAGTATTATAAAAAAATGAGAAATGAAGAAATTTTAATCACTTAAAAAAACTTAAAAAGTATGGCTGGGCACAGTGGCTCGTGTCTATAATCCCAGCACTTTGGGAGGCTAAGGTGGGCAGATCACGAGGTCAGGAGGTTGAGATCATCCTGGCTAACACAGTGAAACCCCGTCTCTACTAAAAATACAAAAAATTAGTCAGGCGTGGTGACACGTGCCTGTAGTCCCAGATACTCAGGAGGCTGAGTCAGGAGAATTGCTTGAACCCAGGAGGCAAAGGTTGCAGTAAGCCGAGATTGCGCCACTGCACTCCAGCCTGGGCAACAGAGCGAGACTCCATCTCAAAAAATAAAAATAAAAAATGAATAAAATAAAAAGTAAAAAAACAAAAACCCTGGTCTCTGAATTTTGGGGGAGACTAATTTCAGTAAAACTCCAGTCTCCTGTTCAGCTGGCTCTGCATGAATGAAACTTTTTCTCTATTGCAGGACCCCTGTCTCGATAAATTGGCTCTATCTGGGCTACAGGCAAGGAGAAACTGTTGAACAGTTACAACCGGAGGAGAGCCAAGGCTACTCATGAGCACAGGTGATGCTGTTCGGGAACAGCCTTGGAAACTTGGAGGACAGATGGATTTCACTGATGTTACAGATGGAAGCTGAGCCAGGGACTGCTAATGGGTCTCCATGATCTTACCTCACCCCTAAGCTAATGTGGCTGAACAGCTTCCTTGGCTAAGTGAGCCTTGGGTTCCCAGCTCCATTTCCCCTTTCTCAGTTTCATTATCTGTCTCTACAACAGCACCCAAAGTTCAATGACAGCAAGGACCCAAGCTTTTGCTACTGGAGGAACAGCTCATGGAAGTGTGCAAGGGAACATATTTTCTTTCTTTCTTTCTTTCTTTCTTTTTTTTGAGATGGAGTCTTGCTCTGTCACCCAGGCTGGAGTGCAATGGTGCAATCTCCGCTCACTGCAACCTCTGCCTCCCAGGTTCAAGTGATTCTCCTACCTCAGCCTCCTGAGTAGCTGGGATTACAGGTGCCCAGCTAGTTTTTGTATTTTTAGTAGAGACAGGGTTTCACCATTTGGTCAGGCTGGTCTTGAACTCCTGACCTCGTGATCCACCCGCCTCAGCCTCCCAAAATGCTGGGATTACAGGCATGAGCCACTGAACCCGGCATAAGGGAACATACTTCTAAAGCAGATCCTGGCCGCAGGCTTTTGATTACTCCTAAACTACAGGATACTTACTGGAATCCCAACTGTGAGAAAAAGAACATGTGGTTATCTTGCTAGAAGATGCAACTATCATTTTTTAAATTTAATTAAATTTTTTTTGGAACAGGGTCTTGCTTTGTTGCCCAGGCAGGAGTGCAGTGGCATGAACACAACTCACTGCAGCCTCGACTTCCTGGGCTCAAGTGATCCTCCTGCCTTAGTCTTGCCACCTCAACCTGTATAGTTGGGATCACAGGCGCAAGCCGCCATGTCTGGCTAACTTTTTGATTTTTTTGTAGAGTTGGGGTCTCACTTTGTTGCCCAGGCTGCTCTCAAACTGACACAAGCAATCCTCCCACCTTGGCTTCCCAGAGTGCTGGGGTTATAGGTACGAGCCATTGTGTCCGACCTAACAACTATGATTTCTTTAGAATGTCAGAATTCACACAATGAGGAGAATGTTGGACATTCACTTTGGCATTATAGGCATCTCAAACCCCTGAACTTGTTTTCCTACCACTATTTGGAGGCCATTCTGCCTTTTTTTACTTTTTTTTTTTTTTTTTTTTTTTTTGTAGAAAAACAGTCTCACTATGTTGCTCAAACTAGTCTCTAATTCCAGGCCTCCCAAAGTGGTGAGATTACAGATATGAACTACCACACCCAGCCAGGTTGCCATTCTTGACAACCCTCTCTTTATTTTTCTTTCTAGCTGAGATTCTAAAGTAGTCATCTTTGACACATACCTTTCCCTTCCCTAATTTAGTCAAGCAAATATTCTGTTAATTTCCCCTTTGCAAATCTTTTTATTTGTATTGATTTTTTAAAATACTTTTTAATTTTATTTTTATATAGATGGGGTCTCACTATATTGCCCAGGCTGGTTTCAAACTCCTGGACTCAAGCAATCCTCCCCCGTCGGCCTCCCAAAATTCTAGGATTACAGGCATGAGCCACTGTGCCCCAACTCCCTTTGCAAATCTTTTCAACTTCAATGTTAAAACTAAAAGAAAACATAAGATTCAGTTCTTGTGATCAAGTAGTTACTGAGTTCTGAGCAACATGTAAAGATAGAATAGTCTGTGTGTGGTAGCACACACCTGCAGTCCCAGGTACTCAAGAGGTTGAAGTGGGAGGATCACTTGAGCCCAGGAGCTGGAGGCCAGCCTGGGAAATATAGCAAGTCCCCATCTCTTAAACAAAACAAAACAAAAAAAACCTGTATGGTTTTGGCAAAATAGACTGCAATTGTGTTGGTTGAAAAGTTTTCATTTTTGCTTGGCTTGATTTTATGTATTTATTCATTCATTTATTAATCTTTATTAAAAGTCATCTTTACTAATTTAGCTCTGCAATTCCAGTCTTAGAACCTCCCATGAAACTCAAAGGAAGATATAGGAAGAGGTGAGGATGTTGGAAGTGGACGGGTAGTTCTCAACTTGGGGCCCCAATTTTGCTCTAAGGCAAAAAACACAGGCTCTAGCAAAGAAAAAAGTCACTGTGCCCGGGGATGATTGTTCAGATGGTAAAGGAGGCCCTCAAGAGTGGTCAAATCAGTATATTCAGAAGGTAGTGCTAGAGTTGGCCTCATGAACCAGGGGATTTCTTTTTTAGGCATCCAAGTCCTTTTGAATTTCTTCAAGGTCTTTTTTTTTGACGGAGTTTCGCTCTTGTCACCCAGACTGGGGTGCAATGGCGCAACGTTGGTTCACCGCAACCTCTGCCTCCGGAGTTCAAGCAATTATCCCACCTCAGCCTCCCGAGTAGCTGGGGTTATAGGCATGTACCACCATGCCTGGCTAATTTTGTATTTTTAGTAGAGATGGGTTTCTCTGTTGGTCAGGCTGGTCTCAAACTCCCGACCTCAGGTCATCTGCCACCTCGGCCTCCCAAAGTGCTGGGATTACAGGCATGAACCACCACGCCTGGCCGAATTTCTTCAAGTTCTTTAGCGAGATTTGGTTTGTCATAGTTCTGAGCCAGATGCATTCCAACCACGGTGTCCAAAGTAAATCCAAACAGGAACCAGAACATGATGTTGGGGCCAGGCAAAAAGGGCGCAAAGGGCAGCTGGTTTATATTTCGATGGGATGCTAGCAGTTACTTTTTCTTTTTTTCTTTTTTTCTTTTTGAGATGGAGTTTCGCTCTTGTTGCCCAAGCTGGAGTGCAATGGCACGATCTTGGCTTGCTGCAACCTCCGCCTCCCGGGTTCAAGCGATTCTCCTGCCTCAGCCTACCGAGTAGCTGAGATTACAGGCACACACCACTACGCCCAGCTAATATTTTGTATTTTTAGTAGAAACGGGGTTTCACCATGTTAACCAGGCTGGTCTAGAATTCCTGATCTCAGGTGATCCACCCACCTCGGCCTCCCAAAGTGCTGGGATTATAGGCGTGAGCCACCGCGCCCAGCCAAGATACTACCAGTCATTCTTTTTGTTTGTTTGTTTTTTGAGACAGAGTTTCACTCCTGTTGCCCAGACTGGAGTGCAATGGCTGTGATCTCCGCTCACTGCAACCTCCGCCTCCCGTGTTCAAGCAATTCTCCTGCCTCAGCCTCACGAGTATAGCTGAGATTACAGGCATGTGCCACCACGCCCGGCTAATTTTGGATTTTTAATAGAGATGGGGTTTTTCCATGTTGGACAGGCTGGTCTTGAACTCCTGACCTCAGGTGATCTGCTCACCTCAGCCTCCCAAAGTGCTGGGATTACAGGCGCCCAGCCAATGCTACCAGTCATTCTTAAGGAATTACCCTTCCAAAACTGTAACTGCCCAATGGGTTCACCCTGCCCACTGCCTACATTACCAGTGGAAGGTATCCGAGTTACCAGCAGTGTATCATATGGGTCTGCAGCAACTTCAATTCTTGGCTTCTGAGAAGAAAGAATTTGACCGAGAGGAGTAAAACAGAAAAAGAGACCAAGGCAAGTTTCAGAGCAAGAGCGGAAGTTTATTTTAAAAGGTTTTAGAACAGGAAAGAAAGGAAAGTTCACTTGGAAGAGATCCAAGACGCACCTGAAGGTCAAAAAGAGCATTTAACATTAATCTGAGGACTTCATAGGCCCACCTCTTTCCCATGGTTCTTCCCTTAGTAGGCACTTCCCGCTTGCACGGCGCTCCCTCTACCCTTGGGAATTGAGCATGCGCAGTGTGTTTAGTGGTTCTACGCATGCCATCTGAGGCTCTCTTCCCTTTTCTGGTGAAGTATCCCTGGAAGGCCATATTTTGCCATTTTATCTCTTAGTGTGCATGCCCAGGAAGTTTCTTCTCCCTGGCATCTGCCTTCAATTAACACTTCAATGTTAACAGCTGTGGATCATCAGGAGATTGTCTCTCCCAGGCGCCCTGGCACCACGGCAGAGTTATCATTTTTAGAGAGACAGTTTGATAATTGTGTAATCACCTGACATTCCTAGTGGGTAGGAAGAGAGCCCTCTCCTGCCTGGCTCATGCCTGTCTAACTACCTGTAACAACTAGACAGAGCTGATTTATCAAGACAGGGGAATTGCGATAGTTCATAAGACTCTCCTGACTCAGCCTCCCGAGTAGCTGGGATTACAGGCACCAGCCACAATGCCTGGCTAATTTTTGTATTTTTAGCAGAGATGGGGTTTCACCATGTTGGCCAGGCTGGTATTGAACTCCTGACCTCAGGTGATCCACCTGCCTTGGCCTCTCAAAGTGCTGGGATTACAGGCATGAGTCACCATGTCCACCCCCAGAGCTAGGATTTGGACCAGAATCTGGCTTCAGAATTTGTGCTCTTGGGCCAGGCAGAGTGGCTCACGCCTGTAATCCTAGCACTTTGGGAGGCTGAGGCAGGCAGATCACAACGTCAGGAGCTCAATACCAGCCTGACTAACATGGTGAAACCCCATCTCTACTAAAAATACAAAAATTAGTCAGGCATGCTGGTACACGCCTGTAATCTCAGCTACTTAGGAGGCTGAGGCAGGAGAATCGCTTGAACCTGGGAAGCAGAGCTTGCAGTGAGCCAAGATTATGTCATTGCACTCCAGCCTGGGTGACAGAGCAAGACTCTGTTTCAAAAAAAAAAAAAAAAAAAAAAAGAATTTGTGCTCTTACACTCACACGTCACAAAGTATGAATTAATACTTTTTTTTTTTTTTTTTTTGAGACAGACTCTTACTTTGTGGCACAGGCTGGAGTGCAGTGACACAATCATGGCTCCCTGCAGCCTCAAGCGCCCGGGCTCAAGTGATCCTCCCACCTCAGCCTCCTAGTAGCTGGGATCACAGGTGCACACCAATACACCCAGCTAATTATTTATTTTTTGTAGAGACAGGGTCTCCCTATATTTCCCAGGCTGGTCTTGAACTCCTGGGCTTAATTGGTCCCTGAA